TGTTCACACAAACAGTGACTGCTGTTTACAAGGGATGCAGCAATCTTGGTTTGCATGAAAGAGTAAAGAGTAGGCATAACCTCTAAAGAGCCATTGTACTGTAGGGAACTAATGAAATGTTAGTATTTTAGCAATAACAAGGGATGGAAGAGACCAATGAAACTCATCAAACATGTCCTTGTGCTCCATACTTTATACACTCTATCTCACCTGGTCCCCATGACAACACAGTGAAGATGATTGACAGCCCGAGGAAGAAGCAATACTGCTGTGTGTCCATTAAAGATCTGAATGGTGAAGTGCTTGCCCAAGGTGTGGAAGAAGAGCTTGAGCCTGCACTCATCTGACTCCGGATATGTACTTGTTCTGTCACATCAGGCTACCACTCATATTTGACCTGCAGTAGGAAGAAGCCCTGAAATGAAACATGGCCCACCTCTAGATGCACTAGGTTCTTGTGATTACAATGTGTATATGTAGAAATATGGCCAGAGCAAAAGACTTCTGCTTCATGAATAATAGGTGAAAATAATGTGAGCTTTAACACAAAGGAGAATAACGTAATGACTATATTCCTTAAGAACTGTTGGGTAAAGAAAAAGGTAAAAGCAATGTCTGTAAAAAAGAATAGGTCCTAGATGGGAAAGAGGGTTGGCATTTTGAAGGGTAGAGCTCATTTTTATCTTCCAGCTTAACTTGATGGAGGAAATGTGTGTGCATTCACAGAGTCATGTAAGATATTTTGAGTGATTCACATTGGTAGTGCATATGAGAATGTTTGGTAAGCCAGGCGCTGGTGGCTCATGCCTGTAACCCTAGCTACTCAGGAGGCTGAGATCTGAGGATCAGCCAGCCCGGGGAAGTACAGTCCATGAAACTCTTATCTCCAATAAACCACTAGAAAACTGGAAGTGGCGCTGTGGCTCAAGTGGTAGAGCACTAGTCTTGAACTAAATTGCTGAGGGACGGTGACCAGGTCCAGAGTTCTAGAAAAATGTTTGGTATATAGTATGTGCTTAATAGATATGTGTAGAATGGGGGAAAATATCTGCTCCAACAAAGGCAAATAGTGGATTTTGTAGGACCAAGTTTCTCATCAAGGGATATTTTGGAGACAAGGATTTTTCCTTTGGTGGGAAGTTATATAATAGCTACATACGTCATCCTATAGATGTCAGGAACTATGATAAACACCTTGTAATTCAACCCTCACCATCATAACATGAATTAGCTTATATCACTATTGGCAGCACAGCTTATATCAATATTGTGCTGCCAATAATGCAAAGGTTGAACTGAGGTTTGCAAAGTTTAAGGCACATTCAAATTTATATGTGTTAAGTGGAAAGGGTTGATTCAAAGCCCAGGCTTTCATTAACATTTTATGTGACCTGGCTACATTGTATAATCACCATGTTCTTTTCAAGTAATGATATTACATTAACTATTTTTAAATCTAATATCTGTATTGAAAGTTGTTACACTGTACATGGGAGATATTTTTCCCAAACAAATACCGGTTTCCATGGAAATTGTATCTAAGGCTGTTGGAAGTTATGGTAATATACATCCAAATTAACATTCTGTGGGGGGGGGAGGTGCATGCGCGCACATGCATGCACATGTGTGCTAGTCCTGGGGCTTGAACTCAGGGCCTGGCTACTGTCCTGAACTTTTTCATTCATGGTTAGCATTCTACCACTTGAGGCACAGCTCCACTTCTGGCTCTTTTAAATGTTTATTTGGGGGAGAAGAGTCTCACAGGCTTTTCTGCCTGGACTGGATTCAAAACACAATCTTCAGATCTCGGTAGCTAGGATTATAGGTGTGAGCCTGGCCACCTGGCTTGGAATTAACATCCTTCATAAGAAGAGTTTGAACTCCTTAAAATGGCATTTGCTATGAATTTGTCCTTCAATATCTGTGCAGAGTTGTTTCCACCATCCATTGTGGATACCAAGATGGATTAGTACTTTGTATCCACCTATTCATATCCTCTTAAATACTTAAATAATATCTCGGTTGCTAATAATAGCTACAATGTAAGTGCGTATGTGAGTAATTGTTATTCTGTACTGTTCAGATGATAGATGATAAGGTGTCTTGACATATCCAAGGCAAGCAGAAGTTTCGTAAACACTTCCAATTCCAGATTATCTGAATTCATGGATACAAAATATGCATATAAGAAGGGCTGACTACACTTTATAATCCAACAATAGCTTATTTTTTCACATTAGAGTACATTGTGTCTGATTATCTCCTCTTTATTACTTCATCCCTACTTTGCATTATTTTCTATCTCCAGCCTGAATGCTAATTGGTCCATCCATCCATCCATCCATCTACCAACCATATGTTAGGAATGTATTTTTTCTAGGGATAATACCTTGCCCCACCCGCCTTAAGGTACTATGGGAAGGAAGATGCATTTACCACTAAGCTAGAGCTGAAAATTTTCTATCTTCTGTAAGTCCTCTACTAAGTATCCTGGTCCTTAATTATTTTTTATCATCTTTTGTCCCTATAGTAGCATTGTCCACACCGTAGATAATGTACAACAAAACCTCATTTCAAGCTAGGCACGCTGATTCACATCTGTGATGCTAGGTCTACAATAGCCTGAGATCTGAGAAATGTCCATGAAACTCAAATTAACCAGAAAAAAACCTGAAAGTGGAAGTATGGCTCAAGCGGTAGAGTCCTGGCCTTGAGTGAAAAAGCTAAGTGAGAGTACAAGGCCCTGAGATCAAGCTCCATTACTGTTGCATGCACGTGCGCGCGCACGCACACACACACACACACACACACACACACACACGCACACACGCATGCTCCCCTCCCCCCATTTTAGACAGCAGTTGTATTCTAAAGTCAGTGTGAAAGAACTGAAGAGTAAAAGTTGCCCTTGTACACGCTCGGCAACATGGTGTCCCATCAGAAACCGGCTGCTGTCTCCAACAAGGGAGATAACAAGCTTGTCCCTCAGGTTGAAACAGATGCTGTTTCTGTGGTTAACCTGCTTATAGAAATCATGTTTGCTTGGTGCCATGATGTGGAGAAAATGCATATCTAGTTGAACAACCCCAGCCTACTCAGAGTATAGTAAGATGTTCACATTATGACAGCCATGAGGCAACCAAGATGGGCTCAGCACAGCAGAGGCGCCTTGTTCCTCAGTTGTCACTGGAATCTGTGCTCACTGAAGAAACAGGGAAAACTATTGCCTGAGCTAGCCACAAAATTGTTCCCCTTTCACAAAAATACACACAAGATGTATCTCTGCAGACCTACCTTATGCGGATTCAAATAGAGGAACGCTGAGCTAGGAGTTCTCAGAGCTCATGAATTGCATCTAGCAATTGCATCTAGCAAACAAGGCCCAGTCTGAGCCTTGTTCACCATTTTATCAATTCTTTGGTACATGCATCTTCACCATAGGGTTCCTGTCTATTTTACAATCCCATTTCTATACTGCCTCTTTCCTAACTCAACTCAGTACTTTCTTGGTTAATGAATAATATAGATTACTTCACATCTCCTGCCTCTGCCTATAGCATTCCTTTCCATGCTACCCAGCAGTCATTCCTTCTCTATAGTCATTTCAAGTGTTTTTTCCGTCAGTGATGGGTTGATTGGATTCATATTGCTATTCTTTATCCCTATCCATTGTCACATGATCCTGCAGTGCCCTCCCACTCTGACTGGACTTAGTCATGAGAGCTGCTTGGAGCAATAAAAAGCCAGTGAATGTAAAACAGCAAAGGCTCATAAAGTCTTTGCTATTGTACTTGTCTTGCTTATCTGCTCTCACTGCCAGAAGTACAAGCGTTTGCTGGAAGTAGGGAAATGGTACTAATTCAAGGGGCTCAGTCATCCCAGCACCAAAGCAATCCTAGGTCAGTTTAACTGTAAGCAATCCCCAACATCTGAGCAACCATAGTCAATATCAAAACAGCTGCTTAGATGATCCATACTGGTTGCAAACATATGCACAAAGCCAGTGGACCCCAGCCTGGATTAGCTGTACTCACAGCTCTATATTGCTGAAGTGTACTTATTAGATAATATTACTGCAGCAATAGAAAAGGGACTTTAGGAACTTTGATGACTCTCTCAAGGAAATACGACCACATCCTCATTGGTGTAACCTCTGAATTTTGTACCTTCTTCTATTACTAACATAATACACTTTATTATTATAAATACTTGGTGGGTGAATCAGTAATATTTTATTCATTTTTTGAACTCGATTCTCCTCTTAAGACTAGCCTCCCTGCCAACAAGACCATCTTTGTGAGGGAGATGAGGTATAGAGTCAAGACAGTTTGGTTTATACCTTTACTTTTTCTCTATTTTTGTATTTTCCTTTTGATGAATGTACACTGTAAAAAGTTAAGAGAACTATAAAAGTAATTCATTTCAAATATAATCCTGTTATAATATAAAACAAAGAGTTTGGCTTAGCTGGGTAAGAATCACAGCATGGCAACTGGTAAATTTTCTGACCTCGAGCCTTGGGCTGAAAAATGAGGATAGCAGTATCTACAGCCCTCCAGAGACAACCAGATGAGGAGATCTCTAGAACGTGGCCAGCTCAATCAGTCCACAATACCTCCACGGGTTCATCAGGTGTTATGTGGTTGAGAGAATTAACGAATTGACACTCCCATGGCAGATTTTTAGAAAGAGGACCTCAGAACACCAACTCCTAATATCTCCGATGCCCATGGAAGCTGATGTTTCCATTTGTGAAACCCATCTGTACAATAAAAAGGTACCTCGGAGGACCATCTTTGCAACTTAACATCAGCCCAATGCAGTTTATTTGATCTTTCAGTGGAAGCAGAAGTTGAAGTCTGCTGCTTATAAATCTGTCCTTCCTGCAACATTTTCAAGAAATACAGACGTTTGGGTTGTGTTTCTTGCTCACGAGTGGGTAGGCCAAATAGTCTCACCAATTGAGCTCCTTTCTGCCCAATTAAGGAATGTATACTTACCTCTCTGGAGACAAATGGTCCTCCTTCACAGACACTGCAAGAACAAGAGAGACAGAGGGAAGAGGAAGTATTGGCAGTGTGCTGGTGAACGTGAACGTTGCTCATGGCATGACTCTAACTCCCCAGAGACCAAGTATTGGTAGCTCATTTGTGACTCAATGTTCTTCTTGCCTACTGTATCACTCCCAGCTAACTATCCCTATACTGCAGTTCATGACCATACTTTATGGTGTTATTTATGGGCATAATTCCTTGCATTTGACTTTGACCTTTCTGAGGACCAACCCTTCTGTGGGGTTTAATCTCATTTCCATCACAGGGTCTGGCACAGAGAATACTGATAGCTTGGCTGCTCAATAGCTGAAATAACACAGAAGATTTTACTGAGTATTTTCCAGTATGCCTAGATATTATCATATTATAATCATAATAATCCTCTGCTATTGAAGTTCCCACTTTCCCCATTTTACAGATGAGGAACACAAGGCTCAGTGAGCACCATTCAAACTTATATATAGTTTGCAGGTAGAAGAGCTGGGTTCTCTGAAGCTCATTTTATTATAAAAGGTTTAGCATTTTGTTCTATGTTCTCTGAATTAATGTTTACATAAAGAAAGTCACACATAGTAGCAATCCCAAGTACCAAAAAAGAAAACAGAAAATTTACCCATACCCTTCTTTGATATGGATGGAGCTGAGTTTTTGTATTACTAAAGTATACTTCCAAGGGTGCTGTTTCCCTATACAGAATGTTCTTTTAGGATAAGACTTGGCATGGCTTGTATTGTTGGTTCTCAAAGTATAATTCATGGGCGAGGAGTATCAGCAGTTCTTGTTAATTTATTAAAAGGTAAAGCCTCAGGCTCTCAACCAGACCAACCAAATCAGAAACTCCGGGGATGAGGCCCCGCAATGTGAGTTTAAGCAAGACCTCTAGGTGATTCTCATGAATGCTTCTGGGTGAGCCTTTGCATTAGAGAAATTCCAACATGAGGTTGCCCAAAGCAGTCAAATGAACAAAGATGCATTAGCTCTGTGGATATACCATCTGCTGATGCTGATGGTCACAAGAAAACAAATGTTAACACAGCCCCACACCTCACTTCACAGTATATGTTCCCCTCATGTTTCATTAGAGCAAACATAAGTAAAGGCATTTACGGTGTCAGCAACATGTGGCTCTGGTAGGAGCCACAAGGGACCAGAAGTACTCTTTTAAAATAATGGAACAAACAAGACACAAAACAACACAGAAAAAATGGCTCCCAGGGCTGCTTCCTGGAAAGGATTAGAGAGGGCCTGGGCCTTTGCTGAATTTGTTGGAGGCAGGTCACAAGGGCGGAGGGGAACTCTGCCAAAAGGATCTCAGGTCAAGTTCAAATTGGCTTCCTCATCTTCACCTCCCTCCTGCTGACTCTGTTCGCAACACAGGTTTTGCAGCAAACTGAAAGGTTCACTGCCTCTCTGCCCAGCCAACTTTTTGTTTGTTTCTTCTTGGACAGATTCCCAGTGATCAAAAGCAATGCTCCCAGAGGAAGTGAGTGGGCCCAGGAGTGATAAGAGGCCAATTCTAGCAGATTTGTCATTTTGTGGGCAAGCTGCCCCAGCCTGTACTTGAGAATAGTAGTGATGCTTGTGCCACTCCCTGGAAGGGCAGTGGTCGCGTTGTTCCCTCGGGGTCTGGGAGGAGAGGGAGGTGACATGAGGAAGCAGCATGGAAGCTGTGTGTGCTCCAGGCTGGCCATGTGTAGTGCTGCTCTGTACATTTCCTTACCTTCTTTTGGGGTCTTGGTCATACCAACCGATTGTCTCTGGAAGGCCTGGAGGTTCACGGTGGGGGGCTTTGGCGGCTTTGGGGGAGGTGGACCCAGAGATTCGATGGAAGGCAGTGGCTTTGTTTGGGGGAGCTGGTGATGCCTGCTATCTGGCTGGTTTTCTGAGCACAGACAGGGAAACGTGAGGTCACTGAAAGTGATGACTTTTCAGGTGAAACTTTTTTTTCAACCTCAGTTTTGGTTCCTTCCCTCCTATCTGTTCTCCATCTAGCAATTATTAGGCTCCAGTCCAAACACATACCTGCTCATGGCACCAATCTGATGTCCAATGCAGGAACTCAGCAGGGCCTGTTCACGTCCACCATTTACAACACTACGTGGCCCTACCTGTTTCCAGATTCTTTTCTTCTACGTGATACCTAAGCTTTCACATACAGCACCGGCTTTCCAGAGGTCCAGATTGGGCTTTAAAACCCACCAGAGTTTCTCCTTTCTCTAAGACACTTGTCATGTCCTTCTAGGTTCTGGGGCTGCTATTTTCTCTCTTGTAAATTTCTATTAATTCCTCTCTCTCTCTCTCTCTCTCTCTCTTTCTCTCTCTCCCCCTTCCCCCCATCTCTCTCGCTTGCTCAATGATATGTATTTGATAACACATTGCTAATACCACTACCTCAGTTTTACAGAGTAACAGGAAGCCTGGCCATTGTCCCAATAAGGATAAAAGGATAAATTCCCTTAGGCGGGCATTACATCATGTTGATCTTCCAAGTACAGAACCTGCCTCAGGAGGGATTTGCTATGACCACTCACTGGAAGGATTCTTCAAGCACTTATGGTATACCAATAATACGGGCTATAATGTGGAATAAGAATTAGTCTCTGATTTCTAGGTCTCATAGACTCAGACTATCTTCAAAGCTGACTTTGTGGTACTTTGCACTTGTTAGTTTTATGTCTAGGACAATCTTAATTTTATATAGTTTTACTTTTGCATTCACAAACCTAATTCCAATAGAAATTCCATTATTATATATAAAAATTATATCTGCCCTTTACATTAGAAAAAACACAAAATCTTATATAAACTGAAGCAGCTTGACTTTTGGTTTGTAGAACACTGTGGTTTACTGTGTGGGCCACCCATGCTAAAACAAAGGCAGCAGACTGGGGCTTTGCATGTCCCCCTCTGGAGATTTCCTTGTGTTGTCTTCTGCTGTTCCAAAGGGGGGGGTGAAGCTTCTCCCCCCACCCCTCCCCCCACCCCCAGTAGTAGTCAAACCCCCAGAAGCTCAGGGCTAAATTTCTTTCTTCTTAGGTTGCAACTGTAATTCCCAATATCATATTTCACCAAATTAGGGAGAAGACATAGGGGAAATGAAACATTGTTCACTAACTGGGCTCCTAACTTTTTTCTAGGTATTGTGCTAAGAAAATTACATGTTCATTTCCTTTAACTCTCAATATTTCCATCCATGGGTAGTTGATACTCCTTTACTCTTTCCCACTCTTTCTCACCCATCTTTCTTTCTATTCATCCTTCTTTTCCATTACACACATACATATATGACTATTGACTTGAAATATATATGTATATTATTGTGTTTTTAAAGGAATTAAATTTTATTTGAGAAGTATTCAATGTCCATAGAGAGCAGGAAAGCACAATTATTATAAAAAATTATAGTGGATCATAGTGGATTTCAGTTCAATAAGAGAACCTCAAAATGTTTGTGGGTAAATTTCCTTTAATTTTATCATATGATATTGATGTGACATTGAATCGCAGCAAAGTATGCAATAAAAATCTCTGGTAGCTTTCTATGGCAAGCTAAGGAATAACTGCTTGACCAGAAGTGGTCTTCATCATATAGAGCATACTCATCCTTATATGCCAATAGATAACAGAATTTAGAAATCCTTATTTATTTCAAAGTTTCATAACCTGGGGGCAGAGGAGCCAACAAAATGCATTTTTTTTTTTGTTGGTTGAGTGGCTTGAACTCAGGGCCTGGGTGCTATCCCTGAGTGATTTTCCTCAAGGCTGATATTCTACTACTTTGAGCCACAGCATCACTTTCAGTTTTCTGGTGATTAATTTGGAGATGAGAGTTTCATGGACTTTCCTGCCCAGGCTGGCTTTGAACTAGTATCCTCAGATCACAGCTTCTTGAGTAGTAGGACAGGTGTGAGCCATCAGCACCTGGCCTAAAATATAAGTGTTGAAGAAACAACTTTGGGATGCAGGGGGAGCATATCTCCTCCTTAAAGAAGGCATTTGATTTCTAGTATATTCTCTGTGGAAAGCAGATCATTTAGTTATTAAACACCAGGGTCATCTAGGTTGCTAAGTGAGTTGTTGTAAATAATACTGGTGGTCACAACAGACCACTCCCTAAATTTCAGTGCCTTAGGCTGACCAAGGACTTTCTTACAATGGGTCATCTAGGCTTGCCTCTATTCTAGGGTGACACTGTCTGGCAGACATAACCTCTAGGTTATCATAAGAAGGAAGCAGAAGCCCAGAGAAGACCAATCTGCCTTAAACGGGCCACCTCATGCTTCTTACAGAACCAATCATAGTGCCCTACCTTGGCTACTGAAGAGGCTGGTAAAGATAGGATAGCCCATACAATATTTGTAAACTCTGAGTGCTGTGGTTTTGGTGAGGTTTGAGTGTCCCGCGAGGATCCATTGTGACTTGACAGTTTGAAGGGTGGTGGTGTTAGGAGGAATGCATCCTTTAAGGGGTGGGCCCTTGTAGTAGGGCCTTAGGTCACTGAGGGTAGGAAGTTGTTATCATGTGACCTTTGGAATAAGGAATCATCTTGGCCCCTTCATCCTCTCTGCTTCTGGTTTTAGATGCAATTGGTTTACTCCTGCCTAACTCTTGTTACATATGTATAAAACTACTGATATAAAGAAAGCACTAACTTCAGTAAATTAATTATATATAATAACTGTATGTAAGTCATAACTATATGTAATCATAATGATATATATATATCTATTCCTACTTCCAGGTTCAGTATGATGAGAAGAGATTAATGATAAAGAAGTAAAAACCAAATAAGATCATTCTAGAGATCTATGTGGTATATTTACTGTGTGCTAGGAGAAAGGAAGCAGGAAGAAAGTCAGAGCAAGTGCCAACATGTAATGTTACCAAGATTGTAGCAATTTAAGATCTATTTTAAGTACAAAGTGAGGCCGAGTAGGATTGTAAGAAGGATAATCCATCCATCCAACCATCCATCCATCCACCCCTCCAACTACCCACTCGTCCATCAATCTATTCAGTCTACCATTCAATAAATATTTTTTGATGAATTACTCAACCCTACCTTCTTTTTTCTGGGGATATGGTGATTAAGGAAGTCAAATTTTATCATTTTATAATTCACTTACTTAGGCAAGCACAAATACACAGTGATAATCCAAGTAGAGATCAGCAGTATTAATAAAACCAAAGCAATATAAGAAGACAAAGGAATGATAGGAATGGCCTAGCTATTTTGCATAAAGTGACTCACAAGGCCACTGAGAACAGGTGACTCTTGGACAGAGATTTCAAAACAATTAGGGCCCAAGTCTTCAAAGGCATCACAGAAGAGTGTTCTGGGCAAAGGGAATGACAGGTGCAGAGATCTGGGGTGGAGTCAGCTTGGTGTATCTAAGAAAGGCAGTGTGGCAAGAGAAACAGAGAAAAGAGAACTAGGCAAAGACCAAGTTGCATGAGATACTGTTAGATGTTAGAGCTGGCTGAGAAGGAGAGCAATGTGATGTGATTTATGCTTTAGTGGATCATGCTGTCTGCTAGGGGAACAGAATACAAGGAGGTAAGATCACTGATGGAAGGAGGCTGATGGGCTGTTGACAGTGGTCCAGTTGAGAGATAATGATGATATGGTCTAGACCAATGGACAGAAATTAAGGGTCCCCAAACGTACTTTTCTGGTAGAACCAAGAGCTCAATGATAGATGCAATGGAAAGAGTAAAGGGTGCAGAGTGGGGAATAGAATACTATCCCAAGGTTTTGGCCTGAGAAAGTAGAGGATAGTTGTGCTGCTTACCAAGACAGAGAAGACTGATAATAGATGACTTGTAAGACTGCTCATGTTCATGTGCTTATACAAAATACAGATAGGATCCAAATCCAAGTTAGTTCAGGTTCATATTATAATTCTGGGAGATTAAACACTTTACTCGAACCTGGAACTACAATTTAATAAGAGAGCTTACAATTGCCATGTTACATCGGTCAAGTCCCAGATAGGATCACTCAAAGTCAGCAAGATTTAAAAAGAGAATAAATACAATGGCCTCCCCTCCCAGGCCTACAGAGACTCCTTCACTTACCAGGGGCAGAGTTGGCTGTCTTGCTTCTCTCAGCACTGGGGTCCCCCTCACTCTTCCTACCATTTTGAAGAAGTAGAAAAGGGGGCTCTTTTGAGGTCACACATGATTCTCTCTGGGCTATTGAGTTCCTCTGAGAAGGAAAAGTCTGAGGGCCTGTTGATTCCAGTTTTTTTCTTGGCCTTTCTGGAGCAAGTCTTGTGCTTTTCTGCTCTTCTTGACAGAAGGTCTTATTGCCAGAGTTAATGAGAATGGGTGGAGACATCTGGCTCTTCTGAGACGAAACCTTCTCCCAGTTCCAGAGTTTGTCTCTGAAGCTGTTGGCCGCCATTCCTTCCTGCTCATGGGATAGCTTAGTGCTTGACTGGGTCCCTGCTAACAGCAAAGAAGCCTTCTGAGAATTTTGTGAGTCCACTGTAGACTTTTCTGGAGGTTCTGGGGAACTTAAACACTTCTGAATTTCACTCTTTGGAGTAAACTTCATCTTCTGCGATTTGGGAGCCTGAGACTCCCGGCTGGAACAATATGATGGGGGCCAATTGAAATTGGATGCGAGAGGCTTCCCATTGGCCCAAATCTGGGTTGATTGTATGCATGCCCTGTCACTCTTTTGAAGAACACCTGCTGGGAATCTGATAGGTCCTGGAAGAGGTGGAGTGTCAAACTTTTGAAATTTGGCTCGAAGTTCCTTGAAGTTTCTTACCTCTTCCTAAAACATAAGGGGGGGGGGGGAGGGGGCATAGTCTCATTATTCCAGAAAAAAAGTGGCCTTGTAATTAGCTAGCTTCACTGCAAGGTCAGAGGCTTTAATAGTGATAAAATGCAATTGCTTTTGGGTTGGACCACATTAGCCAGTAATGTTGCTGTTGATGAAAGATGGCATAAAATAAATTTATCCTTTTTAAAACACTCAAAGTATGTATAATATTATCAGGATATAAAAATGTAGAGAGAATACTGAAAATTGCTGATACAAATGTTAATAACTGTTAGTAATAATAATTGTTGATATAAACTTTTTGGGGTGTATATGCCAGTACTGGGACTTGAACTCAGGGCCTGGATGTTGTCCTTTCCGTTTTCTGCTTAAGGCTAGTGTTCTACCACTTCAGCCACACCTTTTCTTCTGGCTTTCTGGTGGTTAACTAGAGATAAGTATCTCATGGATTTTTCTACCTGGGCTGGCTTCAAGCCATGACACTCACATCTTAGTCTCCTGGGTAGCTAAAATTCCAGGCATGAGCCACCAGCACTCAGCCCAATAAAAACATTTTTCCATTACCAGTAAAAATTAGTTACAACCTGTTCTTGTGTATGAAGTGCTACATAAGATATTCCCAATTATCTCAAAAGATAGTGGAAATTTATCTTTAACCACCACAAAACATGGCTGTCCTTACACCAAACAAAGCTGTTTATAATTCGTACTGGCTTGGCTCATGTGTTCTGGCATCACGAAGTACACCTCTCCTCCATTTGTCACCTGCTTTCTTGCCACTTCCTCTCCTGGTCACGTTGCAGGATTTTTATTTCATGTACACAGACCATCTCTATGGTAGTGACTTTGATTTTGCCACCCATGGGCCCTCTGGGAAGGACCAGGGAAGGAGTGTATGGGCTTCTCTGACTATTCTTTTTGACATTTTGCTACTTTTTCATATCTTGGTTGTTGCACTTCCCACTGTGGAGTGAGGAAAAGGGCAACCATTGGTACCAGACAGACCTATGTTCGAATTCTGACTCTACCTTTCCTATAGACAAATACTCTGGGAAACCTGATCTTACCTTATTGTATCATATGGAGATACTTTATTGTACAGTATCTATCATAGATCATATAAAGCTATATATAAAGCTAAACTATCCTCTTGTGTTTTCAGCTCTGCTGGGAGATATGCTCTTCCCTCTAAGGAGTCATCTTAAATCTAGTATATGAAGATGGTAAGGGTAGAGGGAGGGGCAAGGTCAGGACTCTACAGTGAGTTGGTCCAGTCCAGTAAGGTTGATCTTTCACCTTATATCCTTCCTATTGTGTCCTACTTTCTCCCACTACATTTAATTTATGTTTGCAAGTCATCTTATCATCTTTTACCATCACAGGAGGCAGGAAGACTTCTAATGAAGCTGTTTCAAAAAGCAAGAGCCATTAACTTCTCCTGGTCACATTGCAGGTACTTTTTTTATTTCATGTACACAGCTCATCTCCAGGGCAGTGACTTTGATTTTAGCAGCTGAGGGAATGTTGGGTGACCTTTTCTTACCATGTTTACAGTTGACTCACACCTGCCCTCTGAAGATTTAGCAAGGGAGGGATAATTGAGCAAGACACATAAAGCAGGTATCTGGGAGCTGGCTTGCACTCTCTTTATTTTTCTTCCTCTCTATTTCTCTCTTCACTCATCCATATAAACACTGCCCATGCAGACATTTTCAGCCCTGTACATAAACTGCCAATGGTTACTTTCTTATCCTTCAGTCAGCAGACAAGTTAATTCAGCTACCCTTCCTATCTCTGGGCAAGGCAGAAGCTTGCATTGGGTGCACAGTCAGCAATTCTGTACCTGACGGTCAGAGCTCACCTTAGCCCCTTTCAAGTTAGGTGCCTTGGGCAATCTATTTTACTTTTCTGAGCCTTATTTTGTTCACTCTAAACTGGGACTTATGAATGTACATAACACATTCTATTTGTTTATTCAGCTGTTGATAGATACTTGGGTAGCTTCTGTATTTTAGGTATAGTGAATCATGCTGCTATACAGCTAGTTGTACAAATATCTTTTTGAGGTCTTGCTTTCAATTGTTTTGGGTATATGCCCAGAAGTAGAATTGCTGGATCATATGATAATTCTATTTTTAAACTTTTGAGAAACCTCTCTACTCTTTTCCATAGCAACAGCATCATCGTATACACCCGCCAACAACAGTATACAAAGATTCCAATTTATCCACCTCCTCTGCAACACTTATTTTTTTTAATAGCAACCGTCTTAATGGCTATGAGCTGATCAGTGGGCGATTTTTTTGAAGTAACATTTATTTTTAGCTCTTCAGTATTTAAAGCCATGTACAGTATTATTGCTTGGTAGATTTTTTTTTTTAATCTCTGCAATACTGATATAAGCAAAGCCCTAATCAGAGATAGAACTGTGAATTTACTAACCTCTGAATGAAGAGCATGTGCAAAGACCACTGGTTCAAATCAAGAGTAAATCTGATTATTCCTGGCTTACTGCTCTTTTCAACAATCGTTCATTTAGCATCTACTACATAGATCGAACACTGTTTTACCCAGTCTAGGGTTCTGCTCCAACATATTACATTCTAATGTCAGAGTGAGATAAAATATAAGGAAATGCATGAGAAAGCATCAGAGACTAGTGCTGTATGAGATGGATGCAGCTGACACAATGGTGACTGGGTGATTATGGCTAATTTTCAGAGGAAGGGTACAATCTCAATCATGTACCAAAGCAAGGGTTGGCCTGGATGACCTTCAAAGTCTCTTCTGGCACTTTTTATGATGCCCTTTACTTTTGTTGTCTATCACCCATAGGTGGGAGTTCTGGGTTCAGGACATGAGGTCAGTGGTAGGAAAATGGGCTGGGAAATGGCTGAGGAGCCTTCTTGTTAAGACCAGACTCCACTTTTGTGGAACCAAGCAAAGGAATCCTCAAATCTTCCTTAACTCTTACGGATCCCTTTCTTCCTGTAGCTGCCTTCAAGCTTTTTTCACTTATGGTTTGAAAAAAAAACTTCTTCATAGTCTCATTGTTTTGCCTCTGAGTCCCTGTAATCCTCCATTTACCATTTACCCAGCTGTTAGACAAATCTGTTTAAAAACACAAATCTGATCACGGTAAGTCCCTTCCATGTTTTAAATCCTTCAGGTTGGCTTCCCCGAGGCTTTCAAATAGGTTCAAATGCTTTTTCATAGCACCCAAGATCCATCTTAATCCCACCCAGTTAATTTTCTGACATGATTCTGGACCCCTCCCCAGCATATTTTCTTCCTTCTAACCCAAATGAATTGTTTGCATTTGCCCAAATCTGTGTTCTTTTCAAGTCTCTGTCCTTTTGGATGTTCTGTTTCCTTGGCCCACAATGCACATCTTTCTCCCAAACTCTTTTCTTTTTGTCCTTTTCTTTTTGGAGAAAAGAATCTCAATGTGTAGCCTAAGGTGGCCTGGAACTCTTGATCATTCTGCCATGACCTCCCAAGTGCTAGGATTACAAGTGTGTTCCACCAAGCCCAGCTCTCTTCCAACTAAAAGAAGGTCCCTGCTTGTTCCAAATTTGACTCGTGTCACCTCAAAATCCTAAGTTGCAGGCACTAAGGCTTTAAAGATGAATAAAGTCAGGCCCTTCACTTTCAGAACTGATAGAATTGGGGAGAGAGATACACAAGGGTCATTCTGATCTAATATAGGAAATTACTAGCTACTCAGCAAAAATTCTGCTATGGGAATAGAGAAAAGAAGTTTTTGATGCAACCTAGAGGATAAAAGCAGCTTCCTGAAGATAACTCCTCAGGTATGACAGAGACAGAGAAAGAGAGACAGAGAGAGACAGAGACAGGCAGAGACAGGCAGAGACAGACAAAGAAAGACAAAGAGAAAGACAGAGGGACATACAGAGAAAGACAGAGGGACACACAGAGAGACAGAGGTACAAAAGACACAGCCATGTGCACTAGCATGCTGCATACAGAAGAGCAAGCCATCCCACATCTCTGAAGTCCCCGTGTCCAAGTGTGAGGCTGGAAAGACTGGAGGCTGAGTCTGCTGATAGTATATTTTAAGTGATCTTCAGCGAAGATAGTGATTTCTAATGACTATATCATATGCACAACCGCTGTTGGTCAAAGAGTAGCTCTGCTCCACTCTCTGTGTGTCTCGCCCCAAGTGTAACCTGTCTCATCTAGCCCTGTACAGTGAACCTCCCTCTAATGCAGAGTGTGGAAGTCTCAAAGCTACATCTCAAGGATCTCAGCTGCAGTGCTTCCAAGTAGAGGTGTCCCTTGAAGTATGGGAAACGAACATGAGAGTATCTTTGGAGACCAGCTGTGGCAGGGGTGGACATACTCCACAGCAAGCGGCTGTATCCACAAATTCTCACTGAAACAACCCCAGCTTTTCATACACACTACTCCACAGTGCTCTTGGTGATTCCCCAAAATGATCTAAAATAAATCAACAATAACAGATTTAATCTTCAATGAAGACCCCTGGCAAATAAATCCTGGTTTGATCTCTTCATGGCAACTATGGGCATCTAGCATATGCTTTGTCTTCCTCAATCAGAATGTAAACTTCAGGAGGAAAGACACTGCATCAGTTTTTCAGTGCTATATTCCTGCGGAGCAGCAGCATCTGGAAACAATGGATACTCCATGAAACACTGAGGAATCATCGAAGATTTACAAATCTCCCAGAGTCCATTTGAAGGAAAGTCAGTGTCTTGTTTATGCTGATATCCCTGGCACTCGCCTTCTAGCTCACAACAGACATGGTAACAGAACAGTCTTTGATGAATGAATGCATCAGTGAATGAAGCTTCTGAACAGTTTCATGCAATACACGAACAGTAACTATGAAAAACTTCCAACTTTTCTTGCATCATCTTTATGAACGTAGCTTAGATGCCAGAGAAATAAATGATCTAATCCCTACAATATCAGAAGATGGCTCTGAAAATAGCCCTGGAAATCGC